CATCATCATGCCCATGGGCTGCAGTGTGTGACTAGGGCAGGACTCAGAAAACAGACAGGAAGAAAGGGGAACAAACACATTTCACATCAGTCTGTGCATAATTAAACCCAACAGGCCACTTTTTTTTTTTAACAGCATAACCTGATAATTGATACATATATTGATTGGAGCCATTGACCACTACACTGTAAAGATCTGGAGGAGAAAATTTAGAGGAGAACTTACATTTGCTGTGCCTGGGAGGTCATACCGTGGAATGGCAAAGAGCTTGGGTCTTTTATTGGGCAAATTACTGAATCTCTCTGAGCCTCTGTTTTGATTATTTATAAAATGAGGATAATAGCACCTGCTTTATATTTTTGTGGCTTAAGTAGGGTGATACATGCAGAGTGTCCTTTACAAATTATGCTGTTATCATTATCATGATTAATGTGATTTACCAAAAACTTGTGTGCAGTGTTGGGGAACAGTGATAATAAGGGTGACGATGATAATAAAAATTCAATTTTCTTTCTTTCTTTTCTTTCTTTTTTTTTTTTCCGAGAGTCTCACTCTGTCGCCCAGGCTAGAGTGCAATGGCACAATCTCGGCTCACTGCAACCTCCATCTCCCAGGTTCAAGCAATTCTCCTGCCTCAGCCTCCCGAGTAGCTGGGACTACAGGCACGTGCCACCCCACTCAGCTAATTTTTGTATTTTTAGTAGAGATGGAGTTTCCCTATGTTGGCCAGGCTGTCCTCGAACTGTTGACTTCGTGATCCACCTGCCTCAGCCTCCCAAAGTTCTGGGATTACAGGTGTGAGCCCCCCGCGCCCGGCCTAATAATCCCCTCTTCTAAGCACATGCTGCGTCTTGGGTACCATGACAGACCTTGGATCAGGAGAGTGCACTGTCCCTGGCCTTCGCCTAGTGAGTAGGAAAAGCTCAGTGTGGTCTGGGAGCGCATGAAGAAGCCCCAGCCCGGCATGGGGATGGAGAGGAAAGAGGTACATCCACCCCTGTACTTATCAAGTCTTTCCTGAACATCTATGAAAGGTCAGGCCCTATATCAGGATGCAGAACATCCCAGATGGAGGCATCAGTAGTGGTGGCTGCTGCCCATCTCCTTGCCTTGCTGAGGGACAGACACCTCTTTTTATTTTGTGTTGAGCATGTCTCACCTGATTGACAGCTGCTTGCAGGGAACCAGTCTAAATGGAAAGGGAAAGTTCATTCCAGTGGCTTCTAGGAGAGAAGGCTAGTAAAGTGGGGAAGAGGCTTGTCCTAGACTCAGGGAGAGTGCATGTTTAAGACTGTGGCACACAGTAGGTGCTCAGTAAGTGGGGGGCTTTTCTGTCTTTGATGGATGAAGTAGACCATTTTCACTCTTGGTCCTGTCACCATTCCAAGGGGAAGCAGAGCGTGATGGGGAGTTTGGTTTGGCCTGGGTGTAGTGAGCAGAGGAAGCTTCTATGTAGACGTGTCACAGGATGGAGTCAGAAAGCTTTTCTAGATAGGGAACTCTTCCCAAACAACCTGTATGGGAAGAATCATCCTTCCTGTGTTTGTGTCTGCTCCTTCTGCCCTCACTGGAGGGGCTTGGAGGGGTCATGAGCAAATGTGAGCCAACGTGCTAGCAGCACATAGGTTCAGGTCTGGAATGGATGGGATCTGGCTGCCCAAGGTGCTGGTAGAAGTTGATGCTGCAGCTGTGTTTGCCAGGATGCCTTACTGCAGCATGCCTCAAACTCGACTGTGCGTGCGGATCACCTTGTCTGATTCCTCTGTGGCCAGGCTGGAGATTTTTGGGCTTCTAACAAGCCTTAAATGATGGTACTGATGCTGGCCTGCAGACCACACCAGGGGAGGAAGACAGCAGAGACTGCTCCTGCCCACACCTACTCAGCACTCTCTATTTGTGTGTGTGTGCATGTGTGTGCGTATATATGCGTGTGTGCATGTGTGTGTGTATGAGTGTGTGTGTGCGCTGATCTGACGCCTGGGCTTGCTTTGGCCACCAGAGTCTGCTCAGCCTGGACCTGGGAGGCAGGCAGGAAGTGCCAAAGCAGCCTGTAGCTGGGAGCCTCAGTTTCCCACAGCCGTACTGTCCTCAGGGACACATGTGTTACTGGCTTTCTTCCCTCCTCGGTATCTGCTCGCAGGCACAGCCTTGTCTCAGACTCTGCTCCTAGAGAAGTCAACAACAGATGTTGTCAGTTATAAAATCTGACGTTCTAGGCAGAAGGGGAGTTTATTGGAAGCCTATCTGGAGGCTCAAAGAGTACATTTAGAAACCTGACAAGAACCAGGAGAAGCCCTGGAGAGCCCAGGAGCAGGGATGCAGTAGCCAGGATGTGCCGACCAGCAGCTGCCTACGCTCTGCTGGGAAGGCGCAGCTGGCCTGATCTGTCCTCACCTTCGCTCTGTCCTTGTGCCTCGATTTGATGGTGCACTTGGCTGAGCCTGTGTCACGTCCGCGCCTTGACCTCCAGAGGGCAGAGAGAAGGATAACGTGCACTCTCAGCCATTGAGGGGTGAGGTGCAGGCAGGGGAATTACCTTTTTAAAAATTGTTTAGATTTTCTTTTGAGATGGAGTCTCACTCTGTCACTCAGGCTGGAGTGCAGTGGCTCCATCTCAGCTCACTGCAACCTCCACCTCCCAGGTTCAAGAGATTCGTGTGCCTCAGCCTCCCAAGTAGCTGGAATTATAGGCATGTTCCACCACACCTGGCTAATTTTTGTATTTTTAGTAGAGATGGGGTTTTGCCATGGTGCAGACTGGTCTCCAACTCCTGACCTCAAGGAATCTGTCCGCCGTGGTCTTTGAAAGTGCTGGGATTACAGGCATGAGCCATCACGCCTGGCCAGGGGAACAGGAAGCCTGGGTGGGCTGCTGAGGAGATGTCCCCTCTCCCCAACTAAAAAAATGTTCAATCATGCAGGTACAAATGCACCAGGTTGTGGGGTTGAAAAAAGACATTGCTGATGAATATGCGGAGTAATGGGCTCACTCAGCTCACAGCATCCTTGCCCTCCAGTGGGGGATGCTGGCTGGAGACCTGAGCTGAAAACACCTGGGGGGTGGGGGTGGGGGTTGTTCTCAGCATTTCAAAGTTCCTTTAGGGCAATGCCCACTTAAAGGAATTTTCTCCTCGAATTCAATAAACAAAGTAATTTTGCTTTCAGTTGCTTTAGGAAACTTCCCCTTTCTTCCCAGGGACTTAACTTTAGTAGCCGTACATCCTAACAAAGAAACAGCCAGAAAATAGCCCCAGGCGCGAATGGGCTCTAAGTCATTATTCCGTTAAGTTACCTTCGTTCTGGCTTCTCCGTGCCTCTTCTGGAGAAAGGCCTGAATCAGTGGGATGGGCGGCCAACCTTCTGGGGTTGGAGGATGGACAAGGCTGGGGCAGGGAGGAAGATTCTGTTTCTTCTGCTCCTGATCTAGGAAGCTCTGAGTTATTAGACAAAGGAAATGCAGGGCCCTGAAGGTTAATTGACTAGGGCTCTGTGAGGGTGATATTCACTGCCTTTGAGGAAAGAACAGAAGTTGAACCTGGCCTGTCAGCAGAGGCTGAGGTGGCAACCCAGCTTTCTTCTCTGAGGACTCTGGTCTCAGTGTTTCACTTCTCATGTATTTCAGTCAAGGCCCATTTCATGGTCAGGAAAAGGGAGATGTTCAGTGAGCTTGAGGTAAGGACTCCAAGAAGGGTCGTTGTCTGAGGCTGGCCTGGAAAAGCCACAGCGAAAAGGCTGGAGTGGCTTCCAGGCACCACAGGGCCCCAGCACCGCCCTTGGAGCACCTGCTCTCTGGTGCTTTTTCTGTTGGTTCAGACTTTGTAACCAATTTGATGGGGTCCATCCTTAGTTGCAGGCCAGGCCACATCAGTGGGTGGCCAGTCTGAGCTGTGTGCCCGTCTGAGGCCCTGTGCCTTGGATCTGCTGGTGGGGGACATGAAATGGTTCCAATGTGTTTGTCCAGGCAGCAGGAGCTGTGGATGGGGTAGGCTTCTGGAAGACAATTTGGACACAGTGACAATGACAGATCCCTCCAGGGTAAACTCTCACTCCTGGAAGTGGGTGTCCACGTGGAGTATCCACCACTGCTTTTGCACCTGCTCTTGAGATATTTCCAGGCACTGATTTTCTGGTCCAGAGGTGGCTGGTCCACCTGGTGCATTCCCATCCCCTGGGGACTTGTGTAAAGACAGACTCTAGAGCTTCATGCTAGAACCTCAGAGTGAGGTCTAGAAATTGACATTCATAATGAGCACCTCCTCCGATGCTTCTTATGTGAAAAGTTTGAAAACCCTTAAAGTACCTGTGAATGACTGGGATTCCTTTCTTTTCTTGCCAAGTTAACCCTCCCTGGATTCAAAGCAGATCTAACATAATATGACTTCTTCCCCCAACACTTGGTAGAGTGCCTCTGTTGACATAAGGAGACCCAAGGGCTGAGGGTTGCTTGGGATGGATTTCAGAAGGATGTTGAATCCAGAGAGACAGGATCAGGCCTGGGGCAACTGGGATGTGCCCTTACTGTTAGACAGTTAATAGTCCAGGCCGGGCGTGGTGGCTCACGCCTATAATCCCAGCACTTTGGTAGGCCAATGCGGGTGGATAACAAGGTCAAGAGATCGAGACTATCCTGGCCAACATAGTGAAACCCTGTCTCTACTAAAAATATAAAAATTAGCTGGGCATGGTGGTACATGCCTGTAGTTCCAGCTACTCGAGAGGCTGAGGCAGGAGAATCACTTGAACCTGGGAGGTAGAGGTTGCAGTGAGCTGAGATGGTGCCACTGCACTGGGCAATAGAACAAGACTCTGTCTCAAAAAAAGAAAAAGAAAAAAATTAATTGCCCAGCCACCTGGCCTGAGGCTGGCCATGGGGCAGCTGTCAAAGGTCATCTGAGCATGGCCCTGAAGGACCCAGCCAGTGCTGAAATTCCAAAGTCAGTGCTTCTGCTCCTGGTGATGTTGAACAGCTCCTGAGATCTTTTCCGTTTCCTCCCCAATAGGTGTGCGCCTTGATCGAGTGCGTGGAGGCCGCCAGAAATACAAGCGACGGCTGGACTCAGAGAGCAGCCCATATCTGAGCTTACAAATTTCTCCACCTGCTAAAAAGCCATGTGAGTGTCAGGGCAGTCCCTACCTCTTTTGCCAGCATCTGTACCTGGAACATCGGGCATCCCTTAGGGAAATGTCATCTTCCCACCACTGGGTCATGAGACAGTGTGGATCTTGGGGAGGTGATGTCAGTGCCTGGCACATTTAGAATGTAGCTCCAAATGAAAGCATGGTCCTGACAAGCCACTGGCCCCACTGTCCAGAACATGACTCCCTTTGCCACCCACCCAAAGTTACTCTGCAGGTTCCTTCTGGAGAATTCAGCAGGTAGCTTCCCTTGGAGGGATATTTCTCAACACCCAGATCACCACTGCCAGCAACTTCATGGAGCCAGAACAGCAGGGGAGATTACAGCTGCTTTGACCTTCCTGAAGCTCTGAGTCCTTTGACCTCAGAAGGCAAAGGACTTTGCCTTCGGACCCATCTAAGCCTCCAGCGCGGCCCCTTCCTTCTTTTCTCAGCATTTACCTTTCCCTCTTTGGTTGTTGCAGTGACCAAGATTGTCTCATACCTACTGGTGGCTGAGCCAGACAAGCTCTACGCCATGCCTCCCCCTGGCATGCCTGAGGGGGACATCAAGGCCCTGACCACTCTCTGTGACCTGGCAGACCGGGAGCTTGTGGTCATCATTGGCTGGGCCAAACACATCCCAGGTGAGCATGTCGGACCAGGGGAGAGTGTGGCCAGGGACTCCCAGCCAGTATCCCCGCAGCCTACCTAATGGCTGTGCTTCTGATGCCCAGATCCTGGCCTCCAGAAGGCCTGTAAAATCCTGGCAAGCCTGTTTCTCTGAGCTCCTTTTTCCTCCTTGTAGCATTGGAGAACAGGTAGTTAGAAGGCCCAGTGAGGTTTATACACTGCTGTGGGCTCTTCAGAACTAGTTACCATTCCAGGAGGGGCCATGATTGCATCTACAATCAGTATAATATTCAAAGAACAAGTTCCTTGAGCCCCTAAAAGACAGAGTAGGGTTTTCGTGTAGACCTTATTGGAATGATGCCAGAAAACACCGGAAAAAAGACCGACTCTCTCTTCCTATGGAGGCAGGCAGAATGGAGCAGTTAGGAGCATGGGCTTGGGAATCAGACCAGGATTCCAGTTCTGGGTCAACAGCTTACTAGCTGAGGAACTCGAGGAAGGCCACTTGACCTCTGTCCAATGGGAACACAAGAGCTTTTACGTGAGGGTGAAATGAGATCCTGTATGTGCAGCGTTCAACACAGTGCCTGCAATGCACTGGCATCAGTTGCATGCCCACTATTGCCATTTACCTGATCTCTCAGGGATGCCTGTCTCTGGATTGGCTTCTGAAATCTTAAGGGCATTTCTGGTGTGGAAAGTGTACATTACATGTTTCAGGCTGTGTGGACTTCCCTTTACTGCATGTGGACCCAAACCCTGCTTTCAGCCTCTCTCGTTTTGAGCAGATGGCAGGAGCTTTTTTATTTTTGTAGATGCCAACATCCACGCATTATACATTACATACATATTGGGGGCCTTTCTCTGTGCAGGTTATTCCTCAACTCCTTTAAGACTCTAATAAGTTAACTCAGAGTGTGGTAGACACATCTTTTTACTGTTTTGGTAATGACCCACCATGGACATGGGCAAGTCAGCGTCCTGTCTGTAGATCCGTTTTTGGTTTGTCTTGGCTCTGAAAGGTGAATACAGCATGCAGATGATACAGCAAAGGTGTCCTAGGCTTTAGATGCCAAGGCCCACAGTTGTTTGTTTGTTTTTTGAGACAAGTCTCGCCCTCTTGCCCAGGCTAGAGTGCAATGGCATGATCTCGCTCACTGCATCCTCCGCCTCCTGGGTTCAAGTGATTCTCCTGCCTCAGCCTCCTGAGTAGCTGGGATTACAGGTGCGTGCCACCACATCCAGCTAATTTTTTTGTATTTTTAGTAGAGATGGGGTTTTGTCATGTTGGCCAGGCTGGTCTCGAACTCCTGACCTCAAGTGATCCGCCCACCTTGGCCTCCCAAAGTGCTGGGATTACAGGTGTGAGCCACCACTCCTGGCCCAAGGCCCACAGTTGATTGAGGGAATAAAAAAAGTCCTTCTGCGTGAGAGCTTGCATGCCCAAGATACAGGAAGGAGACTTCCTGTGGACAGGGATGCACAGGAAGATTAGAGGGCACAGAGGCTCTGCTGGCAAGGACCGCCTGGTGGCCCCTGGGCATTCTGACCAGGGATCTAGTTTGGTACGCCCTTACTAAGGAGCTCAACCTCCCAGGGATTACACACTCAGTAGTTTTTGAATCTGCCCAGTGCTGGTTCAGCAGACATATGGGGTCAGGCCACTGCTTAAGACTCCTCAGCCTGGATTGCTCCACTAACCCAGGGCCAAATTGGGTACAGCTAACCCCTGGCCCCACCCCCACACTCCTGTTCCAGGTTGAGCAGATCCTGCATCCTAGCAATGGCTCATGAGTGGCGCCTGGCGGTCCCCTGGGTCATTGCTTCCTTCTTCCACACCCCCACCCCTGCAACACCACGGAGGGAGTAGATAGGACCAGGAGACCCTGTCTCCCCTGCACTCATTTTTCTCTGCCTTTCCGCCTCCCAGCTCCATCTCCCATCTGTGCCCAACCAAGAGGGCAGGGCTAGAGCAGAGTGGGTGCTAAAGGCATAGACTTGGGAATCAGGCAGCCTGGGCTTTCATCTCAGCTCTGTCTTTACTGGCCTTGTGCCAGATACTGAATTTTTCAAAGCTTCAGTGTCCTTGTCTGTAAAAATCGCGATAGAGCCCTTCACGGATTGCTGGGAGGAGGTATCGCACTTTGTGTGCATGGGTAAACGGCAGAGATGCTTACCATGGCTGTTGATGCTAATAGTAATAAAAGCCTTCTTTCACGCCTTAATTTATCCTTCTCCATTTTTAGTAGAAAAGTAAAATAAAAACAGGGGCTCGATTGTCCATCTTAAATGCTAATTTGCCTATTTTGCATAAATCTGCAGGCTGAATTCTTTGCCTCCTGACCTTCCAGTGTTTCACGTAAAATTAATTACTGGAGTTTCCTGCCACTGCATGTAAACCTCATATTAAGGGCAATGACACAATCAAGTGCCTGAGGGTTTTTTTGTGTGTGTGATGGAGTCTCGCTCCGTCACCCAGGCTGGAGTGCAGTAGTGTGATCTCAGCTCACTGCAACCTCCGCCACCCGGGTTCAAGCAATTCTCTTATCTCAGCCTCCCAAGTAGCTGGGATTACAGGCGTGCACCACCACACCCGGCTAATTTTTTTTTGTATTTTTAGTAGAGTCAGGATTTCACCATGTTGGCCAGACTGGTCTCAAACTCCTGACCTCAAGTGATCTGCCCACCTCGGCCTCCCAAAGTGCTGGGATTATAGGTTTGAGTCACCGCACCCAGCCAGGTGCCTGATATTTTTAAACTATCAACTCAATCCCATCTCAGATTAGATGTAAAATGTATCTGAATACAGGCTCACTAGCCATGAGAGAGAGAGAGAATGAGAGAGAACTGGTTGAGTAGGGAGAATACAAGCTGGAGCCCGCCCTGGGACCTGTGTTGGCTTCTGTCCATCTTGGTTCCTGCACAGACAGAAAATGGGGAACTGGCCATCCAGGCTGCTCAGGAGTAGAGCTCTGAAGAACCTGGGCCACTCTCCTTAAACACGAGGGGCCACAGCTCACGCTTCGGTGTCTTCCAGCCTGGCACAGAGGGCATTGCATGCTTAGCTTTGCATGCACATATTGAGAAGTCAGTATACATCAGGTCCCCTGATAGGTGTTGTGGCTGAGACAAGGAATTAGTTTTGCCCCCAGAATCCCATTTAGAACAAGGCTGACTTCCAGGGGGAACTTGGTTCACTCAGAATCCCAGCCATTGTTCAACTCAGTCTGACGTTGTCCTACCCCAAATGCAGGTTTTTTGTTTTTGTTTTTTACCTTGAGCCTTGAGTTGAATGTTCCAAGTATTGGGTTCCCCATAGGGCAAGCCCAGGTCTTTAGAATGTCCACCTCTTATTCCATGAAACCATGAGCTAGCAGCCTTTAATGGGCAGTGGGGAATCACTTGATGAATTTGCAGCCTACTCCAAATGACCCAAGTCTGCCATCCTCCCTCCCTGGACAGCCTCAGGCTTGTGCCAGCCAGGAGAGCCTTCCCGGACAGTCTCCACCACCCTGCCCAGGCCTCCATGTACAGGGCATCCCCAGAGTCCTCCTCACAAAGGTCCCTCGGCGGCCCTGCTCCCAGGTAGCCTCCGTCTGGCTCAATGAAATATGAGCTGCCGAGTGACAGCAGCTGTGTCTGAAGTGGCCCCAGATCCTATAATTACATCTCCCTTTATTACCTCTGCTAATGGCCCTCCAGGTCGGCAGAAACGATCATAAATTAA